CCTAAATTACGTCTAACGGCGTAAATATTGCTTCTTTTTTGTATGTGTGTGTGTGTGCGTGCGTGCGTGCGTGTGCGTGTGTGTGTCTGTGGAAAAATTTACAAAAAGTTATTAAGCCATTTAAAAACAATTATTTCGATGTCCATTTCAGGGCCAGCACATTTGGCACGTGTTGCAAATTCGAATTCCAACCTGAAACTATAAATCAAAAACGGCGGCCGTGTAGTTTCTATGTCCTATACAAGCCTGTTCGCAATCTGCTCTCTGGTTTGCGAGCTCTCTCCGGTTAGCGTGCTGAACACAAAATTACTGAGGGCGCCAAGTAGAGGATGGCAACGAGCACGATAATCGCGATAAGTAATAATTTTAACTTAAGACAGGCAATCGGGTGCGAAAGGCACGTTGCAGAAGAACTGTGGAAGCTCATCGCCAACACGCGCTCAGCATTCGCGCATACAGCTATGGCCGCCAGTGAATACTGCCTATACTCCTTTCACCCTTAAGGTGATGGCGAATTCCACTGGTCGTTTTGGAACGCGCCGGGATCGACTTCTCTGAAGCGACCCTATTTCACTGGGCGATCGGGATCGAGACCGTCATGTTTCACTGGTCGTTTTGGATTAGCTCCCGAAAAAAGTCGCAGCCGGGCCAGCCCTCGGCGCACACACGTGACTTCCTTTCTCGCGGGGCATCTTGCCTGATCTCGCCCATCTCGCCTCGGAAGAAGAAGCAGCACGTCGCGGACTGGGCTCCTAGATTGTCTCGACATCAGAAGAATTCGTAAAGGCTGCTTGCTTACCCCTTGGCTTGACAGCCGGTGTGTTTTCCAGGAAGGAGAAGAGAAAATATTTGCCGGCGTTACGGGCATTCCGGCAATCTTTGCTAGAAGCGCCTGAGCCATTCCTGCCGCTCGTGCCTCGAACATGTGTTAGCACCGCGATTGCGAAAACGTCTTCGAAACGACCGCGGCGGCCGCGGAAAAGAGATTCCCGGGCAGTTGAATGGCGGGAAGGCATCCGCCGATCCCGGAGCAGTGGTCATGTTGCACGGGGGTTCCGTAGGCGGCGCGACCCCGTTCGGATCGTGTGCTCCATTCCGGATCTGGTCAACTGATCCCGCCGCGCTCCAAAACGCCCAGTGGAATTCGCCATGAGACTGGAAGCTCCGCCTTCAGTGCGAGCTTTAACGCGCAGGCACGCGCAACCAAAACACTGCTGAAGCCGGCAAGCTCGCGCTGAAGGCGGAGCTTCTGGTCTCAGCTGAAGGGTAAACGGAGTTCACCCACAAGTTGGGGCTGTGGCCAATGCTATAAACACGAGAGCACGGGGTCGTTGCTTTGAAACGTTCTCCCGCAAAACAAGCTCTCGCGCTAAAATGCACGCCTCGAAGCCAGGGGCGCGGCTAGAGCTTGCGCTTGTAGCTTTGACTGCGGTCTCAGCTACGGAGATAGAGTTCGCATAGTTAAACTTTATTCCACATTGCTGGTAGGACCACGGGAGTCGCTGCCGATCGGTGGCTCGATTGGGGACTTCTCTGAGTTCGGTTATGATCGATTAGTTGTCAACTCGAACCACCCAGGCCGGTCGCTTTTTGGTTAGGTTCTTGGTCGCTTTTCGCCGGAAAATACTCTCGAGTGCACCGAAGCGGTTGGGCCCATTCTGTGATAACCTGATTTGATGGGAAACCCCAACGAGCAGCCTTGTAGCCCCCGCTAGCAGCGTTCATTTACTGGGGACAAGTTTCTGCTTTCAGAAGAGCGTGGGAGTTATCTCGCAAAGTTTCAAGCCGCCATAGGGTGACTTCAGGTAAGATCCTACAATGGGTGAATGTCGACATTCTTTAATTCCCTTGATATGTTTGTTTATATGGCAGGTCATTTCATGATGTCTAGTATAAACGAATCTATAAATATTTTTGGCCCAAAAGAAATCACGGGAAACTAAAACATCGTAGGACCTGGGAAGGAGGGCACTCGCATTTGCACACACCGCCGGTGTGGCCATGTCAGGTAGTAAAAACGATATAATATTAAAAGAAAGTTAATAATTGCTACAAACAATGTATGGGTGCAGTTCGTTACAATAACGTTAATAGATCCTTTCCGGAATTCAGTCTGGCCACTTTGATCACTATCATCATCTGCCTACCAACCGGGCGTAGGGCGCAAGTGTTTTTTCGACACGGCGTGTCGGGGCACGGCTAAACGACGGAATCTGGCGGTGGTGGCTGGGGCGTCTCGGAAACCAGGCAAGGGAGACACCTAACATCATGACTCCACGGAGGAAAACAATGACAACCAGTCGAAGTCAAATGGAAAAGGCAAAGAAGAGGGGAAAGCGAGACAAGGCGTCGGTGGAGTGCGAAGGCTGTGAAAAATGGGTGGATATCAGCGAGACACCGTTCGAATCATGCACGGAGGCGGAGAACAGTACATACAAATGTAAGGAGTGCAAGGAAAATGAGGTGAGAAGAATCACCTTGGAGGAGGAGATCGAACGGCAAGTTAATGCCTTGAGAGAGGCAGCGAGAGTGAAGCTGGAGGAGGCAAAGACAGAGAGAGCGGCCATAGAAAGTAGGATGTTGGCGAAGCTCGAAGAAGAGAGAACCTTGAGAATAGCGACGGAAGAGAAACTGAATGCAATAATGCCTGGAGGAAAGGAACAAGAGAGAAAAATTAGGGGAGGTGTTTAATGAATGGATGAAGTCATGTGAACCAGAGCAAACGACGGTCAACGGGGCTGAAAACGCGCCGCAACAGCTGGAACCGAGAAACGGGGTCAAAGAAAAGATGACATACCACACAGACGGGAAAGAGACAGTTAGCTTTTCCCAAGAACGGACGGGAAGTGGAGATCTGGATAAGGAGCAGGGGAGACAGACGACTGGAGGCCAAACAGAAAGAAGCCAGCACAGGAACTACAAGGAGGCCCTCATGAGGCAGAGAGCAGACCCAGATGACGGGACAAAGAAACAGGACAAAGAGAAGAAGGTGGACAAGAGAGTCTTAGTGGTAGGGGACACCAATGCCTTCAAGATAAAGAGAGCCACACTGAAGGTGGTAGATTACGAAAAGAAAGTTCACTTTGCAACTAAGCCGGGAGCACAACTGAGAGAGTCACTCGAGAGAGCAGAGAGGGATGGGAAAATATGGAATGCAGAGGCAGGAGTGGTGGTCATACATGCGGGAGTGACAGACGTGCAAGGCGAAGAATCGGTGGAAGAAATGGCAGCGGAGCTAGGGAAACGGCTTGAGGACTGGACCACGAGAGCCCCGAAACATTCTTTTATGGTGTATGAAGTCCCAGAAATCAAAGACAAGGGGGACCCACTCAAAGAGAGGTGCGCCAAGTGGAACAGGCTATCAAGAGAGATCAGCCAGCAGCTGGGACCGAGGGTGGAGGTGGTAAAGAACACAGGAACGGGAAACGACATGGAAGATGGCTGCTACAACAGAGATGCGGCAATTGAAGAGGGACAAGCACTGGGTAACAGACTAAAGAGTTTTTTTAGGACTGAAATGCAAGGGGAAAAGCGTGACACCGATGAAAAGGCGACAGGAAAGAATGGAAGGCAGGCTGACTCTGGACCAGAGACTACAGCGACTCGAGGAACAACTCCAGAGGATGTGTCCCCCACAGGGACATGCCCACTAAGAAGAGAAAGTAGGAGGGATGGTGCCTGCAAAAACACGAGAGGCGGAAAACACAAAAAGGCACCTGACCGGGAAAGAAGGAAAAACAGACGAGCAAAAAAGAAAAAGAGGGAAGTGAAGATTGCCTTTTTAAACCTACAGGGAGGAAGGAGAGCAGGAAAATGGGAAGAGGCCTTTCAGATGTTACAAGATGATAAGATTGGAATGTTCGCAGTCACAGAAACCCACCTCAGAGATGAAGAAAGACCCCCGGATTGCGAAGGGCTTTTTTGGGATGGGGTAAACAGAAAGGACAGTGAGAGAAGGGGAGGGGGGGTAGGATGCTTTAGCGGGCCAGGCTGGCAGAGAGAAAGTCGAGAGTGCAGAGAGCACATGTGGTTGACGGGGACACTGGCGGGGAGAAAGGTGGCAGTGGCAGTGGTGTACCTGTGGACGAGGGCAGACAGCAGGGAGACAAACATCAAGCTAATCAAGTGCATTGAAAAAGACTATCACAACATGGGGAGACCTACCATTATGGTAGGCGATTTCAACGCACACCTAGAGGAGTTTGATGGGAGAACAGACGGTAATGGAAAGCTGCTGCAGGACATGGCGGAACACCTGGATATGGTAATCGTCAACACACAAGATAAATGCATAGGAAAGACGACATGGGCGGCCAGAGGGATGAGCTCTACAATCGATTATTGCCTGGTGTCTCCGGACCTGTATAAAAAACTGAACTACATGGAGATAGACGAGGAAGGCGACAAGAGCTTGGGAAGTGATCACAACAGATTGCTGATCACTTTCGGAGGAAAGCTGACGGAAAAGAGAGTCAGCGAACCTATGAGACCACACCACATAACGCAAGCAGAAGCACAAACCATTGCGCAGAAACTGGAGGAAGAGGTGGAAACCAGGCAGGTGGAGACGTACGGGAACCTCATGCGGTGGTGGAAGGACCACCTGGAAAAACTGAAACGACCGACACGAGGGAAGCGGAGGAGAAAACGATGGTGGGATGTGGAGGTGAAGGAGGCCATTACAAGAAGGCAACTGGCAAACAGGACTCTGCGAGGGACCATCAGAAAACGAAAGGAGGAGAAGAAAGCCCCCCTACAGAAAGATTCAAGAGAATGGAGGGAGTACCAGAGCAGGAAAATAGAGGTGACAGCTTTGATTCAAAGCAAAATGGCCAAGGTAGATAAGAGATTTTTGGAAGAACTGAGAGAGGCAGGACGTGAGGCCCCACTGAAGTTCTGGCGACATGTACAGGGCCAAACAGGTCGACCTAGGGAGGATGCTGTAATCAAAGACGATGCAACGGGAAAGGAACTGGACCCTGGAGAGACTAACCGGTACATTGAGAGGTGGATAGGGGACATGTTCACAGGGGACAGCCGACAAATGGACAGTGAGGAGGGGGAGACGGAGGACGAACTGCAGGAGCAACCGAGCAGAGAGGAAATCACGGAGAGGGAGTTAAATAGAGCAGTCAAGAGGATAGGAGGAACCACAGCCACTGGAATGGACGAAATCCCAATGAGGCTGGTGAAGGAGCTGGGGCCAGAGACGAGAGCACTGCTGCGCGAGATCCTCAACCAGATCCTGAAGGAGGGATGGGTGCCGGAGGAGTGGCGAACCTCAAGACTCAGACTCATCTACAAGGGAAAAGGGCAAAAGTCAACGCTCGGAAACTACCACCCCATAGCCATCACATCGGTACTCTACCGCGTGTTCACACAAATAATACGAGACCGACTGCAGACATGGGCAGAGGCAGAAGGAGTCCTGCGGGAGCTGCAGAATGGGTTCCGGTGGGGGAGACGCCTTGAGGACAATTTATTCGTGCTGACGCAGGCCATCGAGATTGCCCAGAAGGAGAACCGCCCCCTTTACCTCTGTTTTCTCGATATCAGCAAGGCTTACGACACGGTCGAACATCGAAAACTGTGGACGCAGCTGGAAGAGCGGGGACTCTGCAGAGAGTGGATAGACCTCTTGCGAGAAGTGTACAGAGGGACGACGGTGGTGGCACAGTGGCAGCAGGAGACAACACATCCAGTGACCTGCTCCAAGGGCTTGAGACAGGGCTGCCCGCTGTCGCCGCTATTGTTTATGCTGTACATAGCAGGAATCGAAAAGCGGCTGCAGGAGAGTGGGGAGGGTTTCTCACTGGAATATTCGGAAGGCGGGGAAAGGAAGGGAGGAAAACTCCCGGGACTCATCTACGCCGACGATATGGTGCTGATGGCGGACTCGCTGCAGGGCCTGCAGGGGCTCATGAACGAGTGTGGTGCAATGGGAGAGGCCCTGGGGCTTAGTTTCAGTTCGCACAAGTCTGGGCTGATGGCCTTTGGGGCAGCAGAGGAAAACGGGACCGCCAACCTGTCCATTCAAGCCAATCCTGTACCTTGGGTGGACCACTACAAATATCTGGGTGTAAACCTACAGAAGGGACACCACTACCTCCTAGAGCACGAGACGAAGGTCAAGGCGAAGAGCAGGAAGAACAAGGGCATAGCAACGGCCAGGGCCCTCTGGGGATATAACCGATACGAGGTAACCCGAGCGGTCTGGAAGATGGTGGCGGTGCCGGGGCTCACTTTTGGCAACTCAGTGTTGTGCCTGTCATCAGGTACCAGGCAATACCTCGAGGTCCGACAGAGGGAGGTGGGAAGGACGGCACTGGGAGCAAGCCGAACAGCACCGAACGAAGCCGTCCAAGGAGACATGGGCTGGTCCGGTTTTGAGGCCAGGGAGGCCCGAGCCAAGCTGGACTTCGAGCGACGCCTCAGCCGGATGAGCGAAGAGCGTTGGGCCAGACAGGTCTTCAAGTATGTACATCTTCGGTCCGTCCCAACCCGGTGGGTGCGACGGACGCGCCAGCTGGCACAGCGATACGAGGTCAACGGCCCACTCCTCTACCCAGCCGCGGAGCAGCCGGAACTGCAGCAGAGCATCCGCACGAGGGTGATCGAGAGCGAGACACGGCGATGGGCGGAAGCGGCACGTCTGAAACCAACGCTGGCCCTGTATGCCAGAGAGAAACAGGAGGTGAAGCGAATACCTTTCATGGACAACAGCAAGGGCAGTGCACTGCTTTCGGACGCCCGAGGCGGCATGCTGCGGACCCGCGTTTTCCGCGCGAAGTACATGGACATGGAAGTGAAGTGCGTCATGTGCGCGCAGGGAGCAGACGAGACGGCGGAACACGTCATACTGGAATGCACGGGTATAAAGCCGGACGTGACGTACGAACCAGACATGGCGGTGGCGCTGGGTTTCCGGGGCGTTGACGAACAGTACGACGCCGACAGCTCGCAGCCAGTGGAGGTGACAAAGAGGAGACTGGAGTGTTGGTGGAGGAGAGCAAAAGAACACAACTACGTTTTTGGCTAGTGTAGCTACTATAGTCAGTTACAAGTCAAGAAGGTAGGAGAAGCTCCTCCCACAAGTGTGATGCGCCCATTTCAAATTTCTCCGCAGTCGAAAGAAGAGTTCGCTGGAAACGCTCCTTGTTCCGCTTCAATGGATTCCAACTTGTCTCCGATCCCACTTTTTAAGAAAGCGACCTTTGTATTCATTCGAGAGGGAACCGAGCCCCTGAAAGCAGCCTTTGTATCCATCGGGGGGGAAGCTAATCCCCGAAAGTCGTATTTGTTCCCGTCGGTGGGGGAAAACTCTAATCTCCCTCTCGTGGCTTCCACAATGCTAAGTCGAAGTCGAAAGATAAAGCAAATATGTACAGAAAGGTAAGACCCTCCTCGCGCGTTGGCCGCGACGTCACGGAAACGATGGGACGCTATTGGATGCGGAGGTGGCGGAGGGATATAGGATTCCCTTTGAGGGGCATTTGCCGCTACCTTCTTAACCTGTAACCGACTATAGCCAGGCTAGATCCAGCGCTGCTGAGATCCCCCGATACAAAGGGGTTAGCCCCAAATCCAATCCAATCCAATCCAATGAAAAAATGCCATATGTGCTATACTAATGACGGCCTTCTGTTTACTGATAAAGAAAGAAGTTGAAGATACTCCTAAGCAGATGATTCGAGACCTATACATTCTAGACGTTAGCGCGATGTGAGGCGGGAATTGGATGTAAGAGCATGCGTAAGCGTTCATTTCTAACTCGGGCCCAGTCAATCTATTAGTAGCACATACTCGGCTTCACAGCCCCTTGACGTATAAAACTTCGAGGCGTCTATGTGGGTTGGCGCTTCGTTCTGACTGGTTGCATCTTTTTCACCATCGACACTGAAAGATATTGAAAAAGAACTGTACAGTGAAGCGCAAATTCTCGTTTACCGTTGACTTGCGGAAGTGCCGGTACCCTATAGAATGCTGCAGACCACAGGTTCATTGCCGCCATTAGTACGGTAAAAGTTAAACTTCTATTTGAGTCACGTCACTGAATTCCGAAAAGGGTCTATTGTTAGTTGCATTATATGTATGACTGCGAAATTCGCAGGCCTGTATTTTATAGGGTATCTTAATCACATACGTGTTATTTTTCTTAGTCAATTTTTTTTTGTTATTCGGCGTCAAAAATTGTCTTTGTTTGGTCGCGTGTTTGCATGACCTCAACAACCGTACGATGCAAGTACTTCATATTCACGTCGTTTTCATTACATGTGGGAAAAGAATATTCTATTAAAATTCAATGTATGTCCGGGACTTAAACATCTCATTAATACAGGCCTGCGAAATTCGCAGACAATCGCTCGATGTCTTTGGTGGAATAAGGAAGAGTGAAGTCACGTGACTTCACTTTCCTCTCCGCCATCGAACCAGAAAGTCACATGACACGTTCCTTGCTATGGATTGGCTCACGTGACTCGTGGCGTCCTTTGTTGCACACAGTGGCGGATCCAAGGGGGGGGGGGGGGGGGCGGTGGGGGCGATCGCCCCCCCCCCCCAAACGCCTCACCAGGCAACCCCCCCCCCCCCCTCGGAGTTCTTCGTCAGCTCGAAGGAAAAACGTAAGCAATCGACGCAGGATGCAGCTTGTACAACCAGGTGACCAATTGCTTTTCTACTCAACTGAGAGAGGAAGAAAATGCTCTGGGTACAGTGTGGTCTGGGTCTGAGCTTCTCCTGAAGACGCTCCGGACTTCCCCACGACCTTGGCTTAAACATAAGCCCGCTTTCGTCCTCGCCTCCATCCCTTACTGAGGATCAGCGCCGCAGCGCGGAATACAGAAAGAAGCCGACGAGCGCCAGAAGGGGGAGGTGTTTCCTCTAATGGGCTTCATACTGCCTGCGGTACGACTTCTCATGGCGGGAAGCTAATAAAAAAAAAAAAAAGATAAACGGTAGGAGCTAGAGTGCCTTCATGTGCGCTTCAAAGCGCACATGAAGGCTCCCTAGTAGGAGCACTTTAAAGGCTGGAGGCTGCTTACACGGGGTCCTCAAGCCGACGCCGTAGGCATTTATTTGTATACAATGCCGTTTCAACTTAGGGTGGCGGGACATATTTTTGGAAAGGCGCCCACTACTCCTTGTCTCCCCTTGGCGCCGTCTTTACTTTTCGAGTTAAACGCGGCTTCTGTGGATTGACGGCAGAGCTTTCGCGCGGCTTTGCAGGAGCGAATATGTGTGTATCGAACGGAACAGAGGCGGGACTTGCTGGTTTCCAACTGCGGCTTCGAATTCCCTACCTAGGGACTTGGGGCAAACGAGCCCTTTCAAAGATGCGTCTGTACATAAATTAAAGAGACAGTGCCTGTGCCCGTTCGAGTGAACACCGGCTCCCAAACATCCATGCTGCAGTCGTGATCAGCCTTTAGTCCAGTTGAGATTCGCCGACCAGACAACCGTTCTGCCCCATCATATCTCTGCACCTGTCCTCTCGACCCTGACGAATGAGCTAACTACCCAGAAAAAAGTGTTTCTTTCATACAGAAAATATCCAGACGAAGTGCAATTGAATATAATTTGGAAGGATCCATTGCTGGTTTAAGGTCTTGTCTAAGTTTAAAAGTTATAGTTTCCGAACTGCAACATGCTTTCAAAAATATTCAACAATTATTCGCTTTCGTTCTCTCGAGTTGCATCCAGAACACGTGAAAACACGAGTTTGGGTTGGCAATGCCGCATGTGCTGCGCTCTGGACATTCCAAATATACGGCGAACGAACGACGAACTTGCCTGGCAGCGTTCGTTTCGCTCGCTGCGTCAACAGTGCTTTGACGCCGCGAGCAGCGTCAAAGCCGCCGGGCCATTTTTGTCGCGTGTTTGCAACGTACTTGCTCCATTGATTTAAGCCGCTCTTCCCGTTGCCGCAGCAGTTGAGCACTAGCTCCAACCAGAATGTCTGCCAAGGCAATGTCTTTAAGCTGCCCTAAATCGACTGCTCACATAGTGTCGGTCTGAAAACCAAGTTTCAGAAAGGATAGTGCCACCACAATTTTCTAGATCAGTGGTTCTCAGCCATGGATGTGTCGGGGACCCTTTGCGGACCGCTGGCAGTGAGGGGAAACCCCTTCCAGCCCGGGGGGGGGGGGGGGGGGGGGGGGGGCGGGGGGGGAGGGGGGGGGACGTTAGTAAGTTAACACATCTGGAGCATGAAACAGGTGCCTTTTATTGCTACGTATCAGAAAAAAATAAAACAAAGGTGGCACATCACTTCATTTTGGTCAATTGATCAAAACGTGCCAACTAAAAAAAAAAAAAATTTTGTTGAGGGTCTTGCGGATTCCAGAAGTAGCTTCGCGGACCCCCATTTGAGAACCACTGTTTTACCTCTAGCGTGGTCACCCGAAAGGTTTTAATTCAAAGAGTTCATCCACGACAGGTAAACCGATACAAAAGCTCTCAAGATCAATATTATGTTATCAGAGTTTAGTGGAATGGATCGTTTTCGGAAATAAACAGTTTCAGAAAAATGAGTTATTATTCTCAACGCCGTTCAAAGATATAAGAATGCGTTTTTAGCGCGTAGCTGGGCGTCTAAATAGTGAAAGAAGAATCAAATGTAATGATGATGATGTCAAGTCGTAGCAATTCGGTTACCGCGTGTGAACGCGTGCGGCCGGTGTTGCTGGTGTTGCGACGTCAAGTTGCTGGGTGAAATTGCTCTGTCTGAAGCGGGTCTACGATAACTCCACGAAAAATATAAACACTCCCCCCCTTCCCCCCCGCCGTTTTACACCGAGGAACCGCCCCCCCCCTAAAATGGAGGTCTGGATCCGCCCCTTGTTGCACATCATAAGGAGAAACGAAGTATTCTCGACTCCAGCGGTACGCATTAATTCCACGTTCTTTCCCTTTTCCTTAGTTTGACACTTTCGTCGCCAAGCCAAGACAGCTTTTGCTGCGCACTTGAATAAACTATACTACGTTTCATTCTTAAAGGCCCGTTCACACTCTTGCAACCGAGTGCGACCGAGAGAGACCAAACCGGTTTTTAAGCCTCTTGCGATCTCTTAGGACCAGCTCCGCTCAGTGCATCCGGTCCCAAGAAGTCTTTCTCGGTCGTACTCGGTTGCAAGAGTGTGAACGCGCCTTAATGTACAACGCTGCCAGTAGCTTTGGCAGCGTTGCATATTAAGTATGAAACAGAGTATAACGCAGGGGTGGCCAGGCTGACCCGGCCGAAGAGCCGCAAACAAAACCACAAAGCTTCCAAGAGCCGCGGGGGGGAGGGGGGGGGGGGGCAAACTTTTGTCTAGAGCAATAAACGAAACTTGAACTAGCTTCAATCTATCCGAGTCAAAAGCAGTCCAACTGTGCGTAAGGTAGCAGTATAGCACAACACTACCAAACCGCAACCTGTCTTTCGATTTAATCTGCATCCCTATTCTCTTTTTGGGGAAGTGCTCGTGTGACCGGCAGGAAGGCGGGAAAGGGAGAGAGATAAGGAAGGGAGCCGCGAGCCGCAATTTAACAAGCGACGAGCCGCAGCTTGGCCACCCCTGGTATAGGGCGTCTTCATGTGCGCTTTGGGTGATGCCATTCTTTGTAGTACCCGAAGCTCAGAGCACGCGCTCCCCCCAAAAATACAAAGAAATAGCTGGTCACAAAACGGCGTCGTAGCACTGTCAATGCCAAGAGCCATAGCCTCCTGTATAGGCTTGTAGCTCTCAAGTTTTGAGCAGCGCTCCAGGCGAGCAAAATAGAATATTTGGCTCGCGTTTCGAACGGGCGGTCATCACGCTTCCCCACTACAGTTTTTTTATACTCCGTTCCATTCTCAATGCCAGCGTAGCAGAGGCTACAAGAGCAAGCTCTGAGCTTGCAGACTCCCTTCCAAGCACGCGCGCTCGTGCAGTGCGAGCATCGTTCAGGTACAGTGTGCCAGAATTATAGTACACTGTAGTTCAGGGGAACATGTTTTTTCAAGTAGCTTCAGCTTCGCTATCACGTAAAGTGAAACATGCAAGATTACGAAAGATATATGAAAGAACGCAATAAATTAATAAAGCTGAATGGGACGCTGAGCCCGTGGGCTGCATAATTCTTTTTTTTTATTTTAGTTTTTTTTAGACGTTTTGTTATCGCGCGTCTACAGATGCTGACAGATGCTTACATTCGAACGTGGCACGTGCAAAATTGTAACAAAATAGTAGGGTGCCTACATGTCTGTCTGTCTCAGGGTGAAGACATCCATTGTTGCCCTGAATGTGCCAGCGCGTGACTTTCTCGCGCACTCGTTGCGTGACTCGGGCGGTAAAATGGCGACCCTGCCTTAGCCAAAGCTACACGCTCGAGCTGAGCGACACCAGATTGCGTGGGCTTCAAGACGCATAGAAGAACGATTAGGCGGAAAAATGGCTGGAGATGTCACCACTCAAGCAAAAGCGCGTGTGTATGAAGGCACTCTACAAAATAGAACGTTACAGCGACGCCTGGATAGTACTGCCAGCATAACATGGTCGCGTCTTGCAAACGCGCTCACGCCCCCTGCCCGAGAGCAACGGGTCTATG